CCCCCCCCCCCCCCAAAAAAAAAAAATACCAGGAGACAAATTCTTGCATGTATTTATGATTAATGGTGGATCTTCATATATACTAGGTAAAGACTTTCTAAATATTGTGATAAACATTAATTTTACCAAGAATGTTTTGTTGGAATGTACTAGTGAATTTAACGATCAATTAGCTGAATGTAAGACGGAAGACATGAAAATTTTCTGAAGTATGTAAATATCAGAGTATAAATTTGTGGGGTTGGAACATGGGAAAAAGAAAATTAGGAAGGACCACTTCTGAATTTAACTCTAATTTAAATCCATAATATTGTATAACCATATAGCAATTGCTTTGAAGCGAGTAGGAATAGTTATCTTGTACGAGAAGAAGCCCAATGACTAAGGAGTCTATTAAAAACGGGTTGAGATAATATAAAAAGGCCACCTCACCGCCGGGTTAGATAAGCATAAAAACGAATCTGAAATCAAAAAAGTAAAAAATAAAAGAATAAAACCAAAAAAAAATGAAAAAATAAAAAATAAACAATGACTGACTTAATGTACTTCCTCGTCTAACTTCAGTGTTGATTCTGCATTTTTAGTTCATCTATGCATTTTTGGTTTTGTACTTTTGAAGCTCTTCTTGGGCTCCCACGAGCCTACAGTAGCAAATCAAGCCAAACTTTAGTAGCAAATAGATAAATGTTAGTTTTTGAATATGTTTGTCATACAGCTACGTTTATCAGTATTACCTCCGCTGCAGATCACTTATGTCGCGTAGCAAATCCTTCTCCCTGTCATGAGCTGCCTCCAACTACGACCGATATGGAAATTCACATATCAGTATGAGAGCAATAGGAACTTAAGCGTAGAATGAGGATTGACAGAAAGTTCCTTCTTTATTGGATGAAAATGGGTTAAGATCTCAAATGATCAATATCGATGAAATTCTAAGCAAAATTCGGCAATGTGAAATGTAACTTAGAGCTCATAGATATGTCAAGGCTTTGGGCATGCGGTCCTATTACACATGTAGTGTTTTCATGTTTCGGATTGGTTTCATTTTCCAAATACGGAGTAACACAGGAATCACATTACCATAACATTTCAAGAACGACTCCATACACAAACAAGTAACCATTTTAATATAACAATACCATTAGTCGAGTTTTAATCTTAAACAAATTAGAATAACCATATTGGAATACTCACCTCTTGGCAAGAAAATATGTCCAAGCCAACATAGATGGCTCTGTCTAACATTATCTACGTATATCATGTATAGAGACTTCCCACTACTGTAGACTTCCCACTACTGTCATTTTATTCATTAAATCTTCCTTATTAGCAAAATTTCCAAATCTAACCGAGTGCATGGCTGTCCTATCAGGGATGGAACATTGAGATCACACTACTGTTATACATCTCCATCTTAGCCAACCTGCAAGCTGCATAGATACTGTGTATGATCTTGATCAATATTACCATCAGTTGTAAAAAGCGTGCCTGTCCGTATTATAATAGGGTTGACGCTTACTCTTCCGCCTCCCTATTGCAAGTCGCAATACACTTTCTCCTGCATCTCTATCGCAAGTCGCAATACACTCTCCTGCCTCTCTATCGCAATTGACTCTCTTCTGCCTCTCTAATCGCTCCCTCTCTTATTGCTGCCTCTCTAATTGCTGCCTCTCATGTACTAGCACTCGTACAGTTTAACTCACAGCATCGACTCTCAGGTTGGATTTTATTCTCTTTTTTTTGGGAGGTTATTTTTATTATTAAGCTGTATGTTTTTTTGTAAATATGTTTCTTCTTCTAGACTTCTTTCTAGTTTTACTTCTACCTAAGTACCTATCAGGAGTAGCTGCAATCAGTTTTTTTGAATAACTTTTTTGTTCTGTTCAAGCGATTGGCAGTTTTTTGTTTTTTGTTTTGCAGCAAAATTTTATCCAATGTTCATATAAGAAGTTTGTTTATTTCTAGAAATCTAAGTACATATGCTGTATTTAAACCCTTTTTATTTGCCTATGGTTCTGTTTGAATTTGATTCTTGGTTGCTTTCTAAAATTTTCATATGCTTTTCAACATCTTATGTGTTTATTACTACTTTAGCGATGCTATGCTACTTGTGCCTACATATGCGCATCGTGTTCGTGATGCACGCGCATCAGATGCGCCTTTCCCTTGCGCATCGGTGCACATCACGCCTTAAATACCATCACCATTCTTTTGTATACTGGATCACACACACTCAAAATGATATCTTATTAATGCATCATCTATGTGTATCTTCTACTCCAACTTTCCAAATTCCAATGCACTCGTTTATCCATGAACTCTGCTTTGATAGCCTAACTTCCTAATCTAACTGATCTTATGGCAGTCCTATCAAAGACCCAACATTGAGATCACATTAGTTCCGTTATACATCTCCATATTAGCCAGTGTGCATTGGTACTGTGTATGATCTTGATCAATATTACCATAACCATCAATATTATCATTACCTTCACACATACTTGAAAGAATAGCTTACTAATACATATATCCCTTCAAATTCTACCCCGCTTTGATTTTTAATATTAATGGTGTCCAATTTAAACTACAAATACTATTTGACTGATCATAATGCCTCATGATTCCCCTCATCTACATGGTTCCAACTTAGCAGTAATCTCTGCTGTGAACTTATTGACCAACACAAGTACGAACAGAACATCATTTGCAACACGCAGGATTCGTCATGTCGCCTCAGTTTTGGAATAATTTTATGAACACATCAATGACAACCAAAAGAGTGAGTGGCTCGATAAAAATCCTACTCTGTCATTCACATAAACGCTGTCTCACCATACTACAGATTTAGATTGGATAAATTGCTTCTAATAAACTGTCTTTGGGTCTCCACCACCTTCTTTTGCTAAGTCTTCTGAAAGGTGAGTCACTAGGCCTTCTTTGTGTGTGACCAAGCAACTACAGTCTATTCTTCCTCATTTTATCTTCAATAGATGTCACTTCTACACTCGTTTGGATTATTCCATTTCTTTTACTCGAAGAAAATTTGAAAACTGTTCCGTAAAAGGGACATTTCTCACTGATGTTTTGGGGATGTGTGTAGATAAAGAACTACATAGCTATCTATATCTAAAAAAGAAACATATCTTTAAATGGCGACTAAGATGAAAGATCAACCTCACTCAAGAATTCAACAACGCACTCCATGTTTGGTTTAGGTATCTTTGAGGCATGGCGAAATCTCTAATCATGTAATATGTGAAATATTTGTCAATTTATAATTATAGTACGTACATTCATAAGGGAAAAGGTTTTGCATAGATACCCCTATATGTTGAAGATTCACATGCATTTTAGCTTTGTGTCTACATGTTCTACAGTTTTTTTTAAGTGTCATTTTTCCAGATCATGTTACCAGTTCCACACGGGTTCCGCCGAAGGAAAAATAAATCACCATCAGCACAGCATTTTGTAACTCTCTTAATTATCTTTATACTCTTAGTGAGGGAGCAAATGCTACCAATCAGAAGGGATACTTTAACCACATTCTTTGATTGGGATTATGTATTTAACTACAATCAAAAGACATGGTGGTCGAAAGCACATTTATCAAATGATACCAAATTGCATGTATATAATGGCAAATTTAACTCATGTAATGTTTGTTCTAATAGAACACAGAAATGACAAGAGTAATTAAAGCCGCATACCAATGATTTCTCTGCTGATACCGCATTCAACGAAAACTCTGCCCCATCCACTGCATGGTTTACTGAATGTTTCAAGTAAGAAAATATTTAGACATACTCTCAATATTCCACTCACCCACTTCTTTTTTCATTTTTTTCACTTTTTCTACCCACACCTATCGGTTTATATCTCTTAATAAAGAAACACTAAAAGAGGTCCTACTTAAACACATTCTAGAACTTCATTCCAAAGATTGTGAGAACACCCAATTATGAAACGGAGGAACTAATATCTTATAAACGCATATTCTAAGGTCTCTTAATTGCTATACCTGGTGCCTCTCCAACAGAGACTAGCCTCATCAAATTAAGAATATTCTCCTGACAAAAGAAAAAAATTTAGAATCTCCATGACAACAATGGCAGTGATTAAGTATCAATTTAAAGCCAGACTCTACCCTTTCTATAATATTTGCCTGCAACATATTTTGCAATACTGGAAGAAATGCATTTGAATGAAGATTTGGTAGCATAGCATCCGTAGACAATGAATGAGACATGGGTGGATGTTGAGGAATCACCTGCACTCATTTCAAACATCTCATTAAGCACAAACATCTAAATATGATCACCCACACTACTTGGGTACCCTTACAATCTCATCTTATGATACTTGCTAAGCACATTTCAGTCTAGAAAAATGAAGAAGGATCATGTAATCAAATTGAATAAAAGAAAAAACAGAAGAGTGGATAGATAGATGAGCAACCGCCATGCTATGGCTTTTCTGTAGTACCGGAGCTGGAGCAACCTACATGGAAAAAAAAGGTCTAAAAACAACATAGAAATTGCTTGCTTTAATTAAAAGAACCAAAGTTTGGATTGTTATATTTCACCATTTCTGAGTCAAGTTTCTCAGACATAACTTTGAAACGTCCTTTTTGTTGAACAACATGGCCTTTTGTATTCTCATCTTCATGTTTACCTTCAACAGTTATTGTATTCGGATGATAAACATCCATCATAATCAATGAAAAATACAGTCTACTTAAAAAACTAAACACTTTTGAAACGAAAAAAGTGAATAACGCACTATATAATGTACCAGATGTTATCAAAGGCTTGTTACAGGTTTCAGCTAGCATTTGATCTACTATTTGAGGAAGAGAAACGCCATTGGGAGCTGATATGTTTTGAGGTGGAACTTTATCCCTGAAAGTATTAGAAAAGGATTGCCACTCAAAATGTAAGGGTTTTATTACTCTATTTAAGTTAAGTAAACTAAGTTCTATTTTGGAAAGCATAAAAAAGTGTTTTCTAGTCTGAAAAGTTCTATATTTATAAAATTTCAAAGACTAGTAAACTTATTTTCTCTTTTCTGTTTTCAGAATTTGGAAAGCAGATTAACAGAAAGAGTAAACATGCTTTATTGTATGTTTTCTGAATTTGTTAAATAGAAAAAGTAAACAGGTTTTCTATTTTCTGTTTCATACTTTCCCAAGAAATGGAAACCTTTCCAGGTTAGTATATGGACTCTATAACTGTCGATATCAATAGGCAACCACCACTTAAAAGGTGGATTACCCCACAAATTTTCTATATATGAAATCAAACATCTCAAAGCGAACAGGAAAACATGCCTAGGCCATGAACATGCAGGTGTGCCATTTGAGAACTTTGCATCATTTTCTAATTCAGATTTTCCAAGTAAATTGTTTTCAAAGTAAGTGTTGGAAACAGAACAGCCTCGCGAAGTTTCATGGTCATACATTTCACTGGCAATGCTTTTATCGTCATCATCTGATTTTTCACATTTAGACCTGCAATGTGTAAGTCCACCAGTTACGCTCATCCTAGACAACAAAAAGAAAAATTTTCTAAGTAGCAAGGGATTGCTGATCAATAAACTTGCACAAAAAATCATTATGATGTTATATATAATGGTAAATTTGTGGCCAAAAATGTTAAAAATAAGGAATTCTTAAGATTGGTGGGAAGAGGGGAGCGTACACATTACAAGTGGATGTAGTGTTAGCAGGTGAAAGAGGAGCAGATTGATTGTTATCATCCTGGGAAGATATGTGTCATATTAGGGGCAAGCCTTAAAACAGAATAATATCAGAACAGGAAAGAAGGAATTCGCATGCAATCTCTGCATCCAAACTTTGACTTAAAAATGAAAACAGAATAATATCAGAACAAGAAAGATGGATTTCGCGTACAATCTCTGCATCCGAACTTTGACTTAAAAATGAAAACTGATGTTGAAGCTTTGGAACTCGGTTAACCGAAAAGAGCTGATTTTGAAGTTTTTCAGGGGTGTCATGCCCCATGTATGAATTTGAGTCCCCACCAGGATCCTTTTCGGAAATTGTCTCCTCTTCTGGAATCTGAAAAGCGGAATGTGGGGAACGCAGTGCAGAATTGTAGATCAAATAAAAGTTATTTAATTATTAAAAAACAGACAACTGAAATACACAAGTCAGATTCCTTCTTCCCCTTTTTGTTATCAATCTATAGGATTATGAAAATTGACTATAAACAGAGCAAAGAACTATTTCTTATACCAAAGAAGCCTGGGCCTTTAGATCATCTAGGTTGAAGTTCCAGCTACTTATCCCCCGCTTATACTCATTCTGCACATATTTAGAAGCATATGAAAAAGCTGCAGAGAAAAATAAACAACAAAGGCACTCAATTTCCTGCAAAAGTGAAAGGGTGTTAAAAAGCAAATCCTTTTTTAAACATCAACTTTAACATAAGCATATTTTGTCCTAAACAAATCAGGCAAGATTGCAATATTTGAGATAATATCAGGTGTTTCATAAAGAACAGATACTTCAAATTACCATGCACAATTAAGCTTTTAAGAATTGCCTCAATGAGATTCACAATAACCCTGACATTGCAATATTTTAGTATGTTGATTCATACTCCGTAAAAAGGTGGTTATTTTATATTTTATTGTCGGTTACGATCTTAGAGTGTCATTAGCTTCCCTTTGAGATATTTTTCATAATAACCAAGTACACACATTAAAACACTTCTTTCATAACTAAAATCTCGCCAAAAATTAAAAACATTACTTTTATTATTGTTACAAAATCCAATCTGGGTGTTTACATTTTACTTTGGATGTTGATTGTATAAAATCAAACCTGAGATATTTCTTCTTTCTGTCCATCTGGTATCTTCTGTTGTGCCATCATGTCTTCTTCTTTTCTCTACAATTAGTAAGAAAATATTAGCTTTGATTTAGTAGGAAATGCCTTTGAGAAGAAAACGAAAAAATGCATCTAAGCCTCAGAAGTAACCTTCAAAGCTTTAAGTCGGTCACCAAGATCTGGCAAGCCCTCCAGCAATGTTCTTGCTATATAATCATTTGACCGAGCTTGCTTGAAGAAAGAATGCTTTAACAGCTTTTTAGCTGTGGGCCTTTTTGAAGGATCTTTTACCAAACAACTAGCAATCATCTGCTTAAACGACTAAAAATGACAAGAAACAAGTAAAACATGTCAACCGACCATATTACTCCAACATATCTTAAAATGATATTTGTTGAGAAAATACCTTCGAGAACTTCTTGTCTCTCTCATAATCAAGGCCAGGAGGCGCATTTTGCAATGTCATTAACAGTACCTGATGAATAATTGCTGTTTACTAAAATAATCCAACAAAAACCATAAATGTGAAGTTTAATCCATGTTGCAGTGATGCACCTTCATTGGTGGATATTTTGAGAAAGGTGCATGCCCATGTGCAAGCTCCAAAGCAGTTATACCAAAAGACCAAATATCTGCTCTGCAAATAGAAAGAAAGGAAAAGAAATTTTATGTTTGAATACAAAAAACAATTATGAGGCAAAAAAGTAAATTCCAATTTCATTTACTTGAAATTGTAACCATGCAATTGTTCCATTACCTCTGGTGCCATCCTGAAAATAGAACCATTAATAGTAATATAAAGAAAAAATTAATACTTTCAACCAAATACCAACAAAAGAACAAGTCATGGATATAACCGTTCACTGATTCTCACAATGACTCACAAGGTTGGAAAACGCAATCAAGAACATCAAGGTTCGATCTTTTGAAAGATAAAATGATAAGCAAAAAATTCACATATATTTATACAGGTGTGCCTCTGTTCAAATGATGAACCTACTGATTAGTTTAATCAAAAGAAAATTGTTGAATATACACAAGTATTATGGATAAATAGATCTCACCAACAAGGAGTACCAACAAATGTGTTTCTCATGCGTGTTCTGTCACCAGAATCAAATAAGCAAGCAGAGACGCCAAAATCTCCTAGCTTAATACCACGCTGTGCATCTAAGAGAATGTTCCCAGCCTGAGGAATTCAAAAACAAATTTTGCAGAGCGTAAAATTTTAATCTTTCAGCATTATCACGGGTCAGTAGAATCAGGGAATTTTTAATTTCCATATTAGTTTATGTGACTGCTTAAATACTGGACAAACTGATACTGCTATTATAATAAAAAGGCATTTATGCAATATCTATTCCGAATTACATAGCAAAGAGATTTTCATTTTCTTACAATGCATTAAAAACTAAATATTATAATTAGAAGCACTCAAAAAAATATTATAATCAGAAAGTTATTAGCAATTTTAGTTTCAAACATTCTGAAAAATCAGCTAAAGAAAGAAACTACTCTAAGTCTCTGCCACAGGCTATATCAAATTTAAATACTAACCTTCACATCACGATGAATATGGCCACGGTCATGAAGATACTCTAAGCCCTTTAACACTTCTCGCAATATAGTGGCAATGACAACTTCTTCAAAACCATCTGGATGAGCGGCTTTCAATATATGAAGACAGGAACCCCCAGCCATGTAAGGCATGACAACCCACAAATTGTGATCACTAACAAAAGAGCAATGAGATTTTAGAACATTGGGATGGTCCACTAAGATCATTGTCTGAGCTTCCCTGAAGACATTACTCTGGAGACAAAACGCAAAGCAAAAAAGGAAAAATAAATCATTATTTCATATAATGTCAAAAAATTGACGGGAACAACTGATATATTTTTTAAATAACTCCACTGCATAAACAATAAGATGATATCTTGCGGCTTATCATTTTCAATAAAAAAGAAAATCATAGTCATGGGGATGGAAACGGAACCTCAGGCCAATGAGAATATTTTGAGTAGAGGACAAAGAAGGAATCTAGCATTATAGTATCATAACAATGTTTCTCCCCTTGTCAGATTAGTGAAATAATTATACGGAGTAGCTTTGTAGGAAACTGCATGTCACCATGGCATTACTCTGATTCAGTTTGTTTAAATTAAAAAAAAATCGAGTACCAAGAACTTTTGAATATCATAAATGGTTGGTATTTCTACTTTTAGTTTTTTAAGAAAAATTTGAACATAAGGCATTCTCCAAAAAGAAAAAAAATATGCTACACAGTAGAAAAGCAAGCACGCATGGACCAAGTAGAGCATTGTAACTTTGTATGTCTTATATCAATAATACTCTGTTTGTTCTCTTTTTAAAAAACTTAAAGACAATGTCTCAGTGTATCCAAAAATCAACTATACACTTAAAGGCAAACGGATGGAGTATTAAACATAAACATTACACAATACATTTGTTTATTTCCAATGGAGCTTAAAAGAATCATTATTGACAATTTTTTAACTTCAAGTAAAAAATAGACTAAATTAAAATGACTCAAAGGGACATTTTAGCATAAATGTGTACATCTTAGCCCAGACCCTAAGTAAGACCCAAAGGGAGTTCAGATTTTACTAGGTTTTGGTGTTGTATTCTCTAAAAATACACCACATGTATAATATACGGAGAAAAAAACAACACAAAGACATACGCTTCCAATTAAATCAGCAATGTACACAGTGCAACAACCAAGCCACCAGTTAGCCACAGTAGAAACAAAAGTTTTAAAATTTCAGAGAGCGAAATAAGTATACAACAAAAGGAATACCAGATCACAGTTATCGCGTTCGAAATCAAGGATTTTGATAGCTACAATCTCGTTTAAGGGATTACAGAGAGCCCGATTAACAGATGCGCTGCCTCCATTGCCGACCTCCTCGTAAAGAGTATAATGCTCAGGTCCAATCGGATACTTCTTCTTGTCCATGATTCAAAGCAAGTTCTTTGGATGCCTCTCCCAAACACCAGACGATCTCCACTACTGAACGTCGAACAGCACACAAATGCAGCTCGCCAGAGATTTACAGCTCCAAAGTCCAAACCCTACCCAAACCTCTCTAATTAAAAGAAGAAAAAAAGAATAGAAAAGTAGATCAAATTGAAATTTCGGACGTTTCACGGAAACCAGAGCTCTAAGGCGGCGGTGAAAACCCCACCAGGGATGAGACCAGATCCATTGAACGACTTTAATATGCCCAGAGAAGCTAAATATGGAAAACAGGATTGTCGTTATCTGAAAAAATTGGTCGCGAAAAAGGAAAGCATTGATGATGGCGGTGGCGGTGGAGGTTGTTTCCAGTGACGGTGGTTTCAAGACTGGAGCATTCCTGTGACACGGAAACAAGGCGATACGAGGTGAGCGGCGCTGAAAGAGGGAAGGCCTTTGTATGCATGGATCCCGCCAGTAGCTTTTTGCCTCTCCAATGCATTTACCAACCATATGCACGCTGCCTCTAATGCCTTGTTTGGATGCATTATTTTTTAAAGTTAGGCTACACCAAGAAAAGTACTCTAATTGTACCTCAAAGAGATGTTCGGATATTTTCACGGTTTACACTTGCATAAAATGTTAGTGTAATAAAAAAATAGTCACCGACATTTTATGTCATTGTAAACCATCACACAAGCATTACACTAGCCTAAAATGTTAATGCATGTCTTTGGGCTACAAAATGGAGCATAACTTTTGGAGTACAAATAACTTGATTCTATTTTTTAGTAAACTAGATCCGATTATGTGGCACCGCATGTGGACCTCACCAGACCGCTGGGCGGAAGAGATTTGCGTTCGAGCTTAACATGGCCTAGAGAGTGGGCCTAACAACTAATTGAAGCTACGGTCCGATTCCGGTTCTAAAACCGGCGGTTTCGGTAAAGCCAGGTAGCACCTACCCCTCGTTCTCGGATTTCGGTGGTGACGGTGCTCGTTCCGGAAATGGTTATTTCGGTTATGGTCTGATTCCCTTTTTTTATAATTTAAATAATGTTATGTGCTAAAAAAAATGTCTAATGTTGTTATTTGAATTATAATGAAAGTTGATTAGTACATAAGTCTCAACTATACTTATTGTCATGACGATTTTAAAAAAAATGACAAAGAAAAGAATCGTAAAGAAACTCTCAAAGGAGCTAAAAAGTCGTTCACCTAAAAAATTTATTTACAAAATAATAGTTAAGTAAGTCACTCATCCGAACTATCACTTTCCTCCATTGTTGCTGGTAGACAATGCGTGCAACTCTAGAGGGGGGTGAATAGAGTTGTTGAGAATGATTACCGATTTTTGCAGGATTAATAGTATAAACGTAAGTGCAGCGGAAATAAAAGAGAGAAGGCAAAGAACACACCGATGTATACTGGTTCACCACCTCGTGGCTAGTCCAGCTCCCCGAGAGACTCTCTCGAAGCTACCACTACTTCCGTTAAGCTTATTGTGCTTAACAAACCGTTTACAACTCGAGAACTTGAATCCCACAAGCCTCGACACAACCACTCGTAGATATGCTCTCTACAAGACTTCACAACCAAGACTTAAGTCACATAAGTCTTGAACAACAAGAAGAACAATCTTCTTCAACCTCTCAACATAAACTCTCAAAAGAGTAGGAATAAGAAAATGTTTTGCTCTAATGGATGACAAGAAACCTCTCTTAAAAACATATAGTTTTCTCTCAAAATGATATAAATTTGAGGAAAGATTGATGGAGGATTAACACCTGAAGAATGGAGAGTATTGGAGTGTTTCTTATTGTGAAAAATGACCAAGGAAGTGTGTTTTAATAGGAGGTGAAGAAATATATCCGTTGGTCCAAGAAAAGAAGCTGTGCTGAAAAGATGCAGAGCCAATAATCGATTAATGCAGAGCCAATAATCGATTAATGCAGTCTGTGCAAAATGATAATCGATTAAGGCCAAAGTTATTGATCGATTATAATGCTCTGAGTAAACTAATCGATTAACGGGAGGAAAATAATCGATTAAATCAAAGTAGCTCAACACGGAGTAAAATCAATTAATCGATTAATCAAGAAAAATTTAATCGATTAACCAAAACAAAACTGGGTAAATAGATTAAGGTGAGAATATTAATCGATTAGATTTGAAATGATGCACAAACACAAGGGCCCCAAGCCAGTTGCGAGATGAGAAGTAAAAAATGTCTTAACGCAATTGTTTCAGACAAGAGGAATAAGAGACGCTCCTCAAACAAAACCTCTCTTATTCAATGAATTTGAATAAGAGAGTAAAAGTGAGTCCAAAAATTATTTTGTGTGTCAAACGATGTACACGAAAAAATAGTTTAATAAAATATTTTTGCTTACCAAAAATATTTTATAATATCAAAATAAATATTTGATAAATGTTTGACACACCTTTTGTAACTGACTTAATAAAATTATTTTGAACAGTTAAAAAGATTTTTTAACTGACTCCAAAAATAAATATAATTTTTATTTTAACTCTCATAAAAATAATTTTGGAGAGAAGATATTTTGTCATCCTTACAATTACTCCTACGACTCAAATAAATAAAAAGTCTTCGGAAATCTTCTACACCTCCGAGTCCTCCGTTAGGTGCTCCGAACGCGTCTCGAACTCTAATAAATTCCTGTGCACCTTCTTGAATACTTCAAGGAATGGCACCTCAAGTCTTCGTGTTTGTCGTTGTAGCACTTTGATCTTGACTTAAATAAATTGTGTTTGTCAATTATCAAAACCTGTGAGTCAACACTTAACAACACAGAAAGGGTTGAACTCATGCATTCCAACAGTTGCATTCATGTAGTTTTGCGCATCCATGTTGTATCCTACATCTTGATATCAATGCCTTGCCAAAATTCAATCTCAATTGTAAATTAGTGTCTCCAATGATTCATGCTGAAACTACACCAGAAGTTGGTCAAAATTTTACGTCTAGAACTAAACTTCTGTTCCACGGCTAGCAATGACACTGGCCTAAATAAGACCTAACTAGCTAGTATTTCGAGTGGCGGGAACATGTGCTCATTCCGCTTCCACCATTCGCGGACGTTGAACTTCTTCATTGTAGTCAATGGGACGCCTTGGTACATTGCGAGTTCGTTGTGTGAACTTATTGTTGCACCACTTGCACTTGTAGGCGTAGAGTCAGTATTCTTACTTCTCTTCATCAAGAGGCCACTAAGGGCCCCTTTAAAACTTTTTTTACCTTCAGTGCGGTAGGAGCTTATGTCTCGGATTGTTCTCTGAACGGTTATCGTACAAATTTTAAAATTATTTAAATAAATCGTCAAAAGGGACACAACACTATCTGTCTCTTCTAGCCAATATGGTGATGGTAATAACAATCATTCTCATCCAAAAATCTGAATAATAGTACTATAATGTCTCGAAACCCGCCCTATCAGAATTAATTAATTAAAAATAAGTAATTAGTTATTGAGACGAATCTAGGGTTAATTAGAAATATTTGTCATAAATTGTGAATATTATACCCTTGTGTAGGGTTCGATGAGACGAAACCAACGGTGCAAAATGGATCGAATTTGGAGTAAGTTGGCCCAAAGAGTGTATTTTCCAAAGGTATGTTATTTAATTACAGAGAACGAATCCCTAGGTTACTTAAATATCCTAGTCGTGCATTTAAACCCTACACACACCGCACACGTCACCCGTCTCTCTCACTCTCACTCGATCGTCTCTCTCTCTCTCGTGCGATCAAAACACCGCAGAGGTTGAAGAAGAAGAAGATGATGAAGATGATGATGATGATAATGAAAGGGAATGTAATGCCTTGAAACCCAGCCTATTAGAATTGATTAATTTAATTAATTAATTACTAATACGGATCGGGGTTGGGAAAGTAAAGTTCTGAGAAAAATTATTTGATTATGTCATAATACTAGTTTTGACTCTTTGATTCCAGAAACGCAAACGGTTTTCGATTCGGGGCAGTTTGGGGGAAAAGCGCGTATCATTTAGGTCAGAATTTATTGACGGAGCAACTTTGGAATTGACACACCATTCCCATTATGTATACACAGTCCATCCCCTCCACTCTCCTCAAAATCATCACCCTCCTCTTATTAAACACATACACACCCCTTTTCCTCTCCCTTCTCACTTTTTTTCTCCACCCATTACTCCACAATCATCTAACTATCTCTCTCTTTTCCCCTTGGCTTGGACGCACAGCCACACTGGCACAAGGAGGAGGTCCGGCGGGCTAGAAGAAGAGGAAGAGGAAGATAGAAGAAAGTTTGTACGTGAACATTTCTGAGACGTTACCACCGTTCGTATCATCTTCATCTACCAATTGTTCGCTGTAGAGGTGAGTACATTGCCCCTCTAGCATTAGAATTTGTAGTTTTTCTCGATATATAGTTACATCCATGGGATTATTTGTTCATAATTTATGTTGTAATCCAACACTCGTTAGTTATTCGTTAAAATCTATGAATCCACAAAATTGGTTTGAAATTATCTAGGAACCTTAGGAAATATATGTTTTAGTATCCATGTTCATAACTCAATGAAAATAAGACAAAAAGGCAGGTAGTAAAAAGGACGCTGGAATGTACCACTACCCGTCGCTGCCATCGTGACGGTCGACCACTGTCAAGGGCGGTGTACCGTGCACGGTGTTCGAGCAACTGTTGCGATCACGGTCGACCATGGGTGGGGGTAGTCGACTATTTTGCTCTTTCGCGGTTCACCACCTGATAAGTCCGTTTCGTTCTTATCATTTACATCATATTCTAAACGTTATTGCACGTAAATAGTATTTAATCATCTCATAAAATGTGATTTTAATGGATAAGACTCTCATTTTCGTTCTAAGAGTCATAAAATGGGATTCCACATGAAATCATCATAAATCATCCATTTTATGTTCAAATACTTGAGAAAAAGGGAATAAATCATCAAAGGATCAAGATTCGAGCGTGAACGAGCTTCCAGAAGGTCAAAAATAGTGTTCGGGGGCCAAAACGGAGCGAAATTGGGCCAAAATCACGAACCAGCCGTGAAGCCCACAAGGAGAAGGGCCTGAGGCGTCCAAGTTGGACGCTTGGGAGTTGGACGCTTCAGCTTAATTGCAGCCCAAAAATGACACGGGGCAAAACTTGGTTGGCTGGGACAGCTCAGGCGTCCAGATCAGGATGCCTGGACTTGGATTCTTCCACTTGGACGCCTTGGCTCCGACTCTGTATAAACAACGCCTCTCCTCTTCATTTTAACACCATTCTCAACCCAATTTTGGGTTCCACTCCCTCAATTGCTTAAAATACTTTGTATATTAGTTTAGTAGTAGTTTTGAAGTAATTTTGGAGGGTTTGACTCCAGATTTGTTCT